CCATCCTGTGGTGTTGGGTCCTCGTTTTGAAGAGACAGCGCCCCGCGTCCCACCTCCTCTCCTCCTCCGCCCCCTCCTCCCTCATCCCATCGTATCATCATCATCATCATCATCATCATCATCATTCTCATCAATCATCATCCATCATCATCAGCATAATCATCATCCCATCACCAAACCATCTCGTCATCATCATCATCATCGTCATTGTCATCGTAGTCATCGTCATCGTCGCCACCCATTTCGGCACACCCCTCACACGTTTCGTGGCCCCCACAGGGAGCTCCACCGAAGGCCCCATGGCTGCCGTCCGCATGCGTCCCGCACACCCATTTCGGCACACCCCTCACACGTTTCGTGGCCCCATAGGGAGCTCCACCGAAGGCCCCAGTGCTGCCGTCCGCATGCGTCCCGCACACCCATTTCGGCACACCCCTCACACGTTTCGTGGCCCCATAGGGAGCTCCACCGAAGGCCCCATGGCTGCCGTCCGCATGCGTCCCGCACACCCATTTCGGCACACCCCTCACACGTTTCGTGGCCCCACAGGGAGCTCCACCGAAGGCCCCAGTGCTGCCGTCCGCATGCGTCCCGCACACCCATTTCGGCACACCCCTCACACGTTTCGTGGCCCCATAGGGAGCTCCACCGAAGGCCCATGGCTGCCGTCCGCATGCGTCCCGCACACCCATTTCGGCACACCCCTCACACGTTTCGTGGCCCCACAGGGAGCTCCACCGAAGGCCCCAGTGCTGCCGTCCGCATGCGTCCCGCACACCCATTTCGGCACACCCCTCACACGTTTCGTGGCCCCATAGGGAGCTCCACCGAAGGCCCCATGGCTGCCGTCCGCATGCGTCCCGCACACCCATTTCGGCACACCCCTCACACGTTTCGTGGCCCCACAGGGAGCTCCACCGAAGGCCCCAGTGCTGCCGTCCGCATGCGTCCCGCACACCCATTTCGGCACACCCCTCACACGTTTCGTGGCCCCATAGGGAGCTCCACCGAAGGCCCCATGGCTGCCGTCCGCATGCGTCCCGCACACCCATTTCGGCACACCCCTCACACGTTTCGTGGCCCCACAGGGAGCTCCACCGAAGGCCCCAGTGCTGCCGTCCGCATGCGTCCCG